TATTGTAATCGCGAAAAGTTTCCATATTGAGATGTTTTTTCACGGAAAACCATGCCACTCCGTCTGTCTATCTGTCCGCTTATCTTTGACCAGTATATAAGTTGGAAAGTACCGCGGGTTTTTTGATAAAATTTTCACACGACGAAAAAACCTTGAAGTTTTTGAAAATAGATCCTGTGGAGGCTGGAGGGGCAAAAAACAAAAATAACAAAATCGCTCAAACTTTGTTGTTTCGTGTTTCACAGGCTCCTGATCATTTTTGGGAAGAAAGTTTGTAGGGGTAAACAATTGGGGATCAGAGTATATCTCAATTTTCCGGCTTTGGTGTATTTATACATCTCTAACCCCAGTAATTCTATTCAACTATCTAGAGAAGGTTATTTTAGATCACTTTGAAATTTGGTCCAACGTAAATTTTACTGTGACTAGGTTAACTAGTAGGAGCTACACTATGTTTTATCTTCCAAATGCTTTAACAAATATTATGCTTCACATAGAATATCGAAATGCTTAATTGAGGTTAACTATCTCGTTGGTTCTTATATGAGTTAACATATATTTAACTTGTTCGGGTTGATTGATATATAGTGGTAACACCTATCTATGGTTTCCGTCGTTAGCAACAAACCCAGTGTGTCCGGTCCTTTGGTTTTACATTTGCAACACGTGTTCTCTTCCACTCTTTCGTTTTAAAACGCCATTTGGGCGCAACCTCAGCGACGAGTAGGTATAAAATTTAAATCTTTTCTGTATTGGTTGCTAGCTTCATATTTGTGTTTTAGCTCCTGATGATGGCACCATAGCGTGCCGAAAGCTCGAGATTACCGTCAAAAGAATTTACTAAGCCTAAAGTTTGCCAATTTCCCAATTAATAATTAATTGTATATATATATACAGGGTGTCCGAAAAGTTGGGGTTTTCCTTTTCAGAAACAACTACCCTTGAAATAACAAAGGTAGTGTAGTGAAACGAGGGCGACCAAGTAAAAAAACTAAAGGAAAAAGTACTCACTCTCCAGTTGACGAGAAGGGCTAAGTACGTCTCTGCCCGAAATCATACCGCTCCAACAGAAAATCAAATCAGCTGAAGCGCTACCGAGCAGACGCAGAAACCACATTGATTGTCTTACACTTAATGGCACATCTTCTAACAAGGAAGGCAAAATGTTGCGGAAAAGTCTAGGTATTGCATCTCGTCCAATCGATTTGGGAGAATAAATGGTCCAATGAGCATACCGTTCACCATGCCGGCCCAAACATTCACCGAAAATGTTTGTTGAAAATGTGCCCGTCGGACAGCGTGCGGATTTTCTACTGACCAAACATGAGTGTTGCGAAAGCTATTCATCCCATTACGCGTGAACGTAGATTCGTCTGTCACCAATATGCACTTCAAAAAGTCCGGATTATTGTCATGTTGATGCAACAACCACTCACAAAACCGCACTCTTGCTGGAAAATCGTCAGGTTGAAGAGCTTGTACACGTTGGACGTGAAACGGATACAGCCCCTCTTCACGCAGCGTTTGCCACACTTTAGTTTTTGATACTTGCACTTCTCTAGCCACGTCTCTAGTGCTTGTTGAGGGATTCTCGTCTACGCGATTACCTCTACATGCGTGACCGTAACCGTCGGTTGAAGGTTGCATACTGACCTGACACACTGACCCCGACCCAGTTCTGCTGTCGGGTTGAGACCTTGTACCAATCGGAGATGTCCCGGGTCGCGGCTATAGGACGGTATTCAGATAATTTTGATGTTGCAGAGCCCATTATCTCGGTTCCCTTAAGACATTGGTGTATATGGTACTAAGAAAAATTGCTTATGTTTTCAAGATCTACACGTCGCGTCGTGTAAAGGAAAACCCCAACTTTGCGGACACCCTGTGTATATATATATATATATATATATCTAAAAGAAAAATATTGTTATATTTAGTAACCGTTCAGTGACGTAACCCTGAAATTTCGAGCCAACTCTGCGAAAACGGACTTGCTCAGCTGCTTCCTTTCGGGAAATTTATCAAGGTACATTTCTGCATTATTTTTAGTATTTTTGCATCACAATATGTATCACGTCAGCAGGTCGAACTTTTCTTCATTGATAAAATGACCGGCTGGCATATTTGACGATAATAAACCAATATTAAAAATACACAATGGTAATAATACTCGCTGACAGGCATTTGTTTACAACGCCTACTTAAATAAAATAAAAAAAATAAAAAAACACATTTGTTGCTATCAGATACAGGATGTACTTTTTTCGGATCATATAAAAAATAAAGTTGAAGATGATTTCTCAAAAACGGCATGTACCAAATTTAAAAACACGATCATGTAATGCCTAAAAAGTGCCCATGACAAAGTTTCATTAGTCCTTTGATATACCTTGAAATAAAATCCGAAAAAAATAAAAATGGTATTTTTTGTTTCTCTGTAATTGGATCTAATATCTCTTGAGAAATTTATGAATGATATAAAAATATGAATATGGTAGATTTTTTAATTCTTATTAGACGGTTATTTTAAAATTATGGCGTATGCCTCACGCGCAAACGTGTTTATTTTCACAAGAACTAGATAAATAAATAAAATAATAAAATTGTCAGTTATCACTGATAAACACAGGACTTGTGACATGACAATTTTTGGGTGTATCTTACGTATTTTGAGACCCTTAAATCAAATCCAAAAACAGAATTTTTCTATCACCCACAGATATTCGGTAACATCCACTTTTATGAATTACAATACGTAACATCTCATAATGCTGCATTTCTCGGCGTTTATACGATGACGCACATATACGTAGTCATGCCATAAGTTCTGTCCCTCGTTTTCAAACAAGTGTAGACCAGTTAATACTTGTCCGATTGTTTACATTGTGGTGTCAGTTGATTAAGCGCTTTTCGGGTAATTACATATACCTCAGTTTGTATTGATCTCTCGAAGCATAACGATGGAGTGGGGCAAGGCAGAGAACCGTATTGCAGTGATAGCTTTACATAAGTGTAATCACAGTGCTAGTCAGATTTTTGAACTCTTACGCGGCCTTCAAATATCGCGTAAATTTGTGTCTAGGACCATTCAGCGGTACAATGAGACGTCCTCTGTTGATGACAGGCCAAGAAGCGGAAGACCTCGTCAAGTAAGGACTCCAGCAGCCATCAAAGCCGTAAAAGCCAGGATTCAAAGGAATCCACTCCGGAAGCAGAAGATCCTATCCAGGGAAATGAAGATTCCTGTCCGGACGATGTCGCGCATCATTAAACAAGACCTAGGGCTAGGGGCTTACCGGAGACGTACGGGCTAGCGACTTACGGCCACCTTGCGACACATCAGGGCGACAAGATCCAAGAAGCTCTTGGAGAGGTACGCAGCTGGGGGATTCCGAAAGATTTTGTTCACGGATGAGAAAATCTTCACCATAGAAGAAAAATTCAACCGACAAAATGACAAAGTGTATGCAAGGAGTTCACAGGAAGCTTCGGAGATCATTCCGAGAGTTGAGAGAGGCCACCACCCTGCGTCAGTCATGGTTTGGTGGGGGGTGTCCTACGAAGGGGTCACTCAGCTCCATTTCTGTAAACAGGGCGTGAAAACAAAAGCGGCAAACTATCAGAGCGACATACTGGATCCTATCGTCAAGCCTTTAAGTGGTACATTGTTTGCCAACCAACACTGGGTCTACCAGCAGGATTCCGCCCCCGCTCACAAGGCTAAGAGTACGCAGCGCTGGCTGGAAAGCAATGTGCCAGAGTTCATTGCTGCGGAAGATTGGCCCTCAGGGAGTCCGGACCTCAATCCTTTAGACTACAAGTTGTGGGACCTGCTAGAGCAGTTGGCCTGCCCCAAAGCCCACCGTAATATCGAGTCCCTGAAAGCGGATTTGATCCGATCAGCGGCAGCTATTGCTTTGGAAGCTGTGCGTGCAGTGATAGATGAGTGGCCCGCGAGATTGAAGCAGTGTGTGAAGGCCAAGGGGGGACATTTTGAATAAAACTGTTTGATTATGAATTCTAAAAATGTTGTCGAATAAATAATATCTTTCATATAAATATATCTTATCTTGTTTCATTTTTATCATGAGATTATCATGGGACAGAACTTATGGCACGACTACGTACAATGTTAAGACCTGTCTATTCCTGTTTATTATATGCGAGCGCTATGTTTAGAGATCATATTGCGTTTATTAGTAGACTAATAGCAGCCGAGTCAGTTACGTTTTCTGTGTTGAACGGTACTGTTAATTTTTGTTAAAACGGTGTGTTGTTTTTAGTTTATTGTGATTATTATGGACAACGCCTAGAAATTATGTAAATAGTGCGAACAGTTTTTGTTATGTGTGCGGAGAGCTAACTTTTAAATCCCAAAAACGTACTTATACTCCCCTTTTGTTGAAAGCATACCAACTTTATTTTGGAATTAAAGTTGGTGACCAAGATAAACTATGGGCCCCTCATATTTTTTATAAGACTTGTGTAACAATATTAACAGGTTGGTTAAGAGGCTACAATCGTAAAATGCCCTTTGCGGAACCAATGTTTTGGAGAGAACCGAGAGACCATACTACTACTGATTGCTATTTTTGCCAATATTAAAGGTATTGGACCAAAATCGAAACATACTATCAAGTATTTTAATTTACCACCAGCTTTGCGGTCCGTTAAGCGTAGTGATGAACTTTCTGTCCCAGTTCCACCAGACTCTCTTGGTCTTTGGATGGAAAAGTCGAATCCATCGATTCTGAAAGTGGTGGTACAGAAAGCGTAAAAATTTCCGATCCTTCGTTTGACCTGTCAGGATGTTCAACAGCGCCGCATTTGATCACACAGGGCTAACTTAATGACTACGTTCGAGAATTAAATCTGTCAAAATCCTAGTCAGAACTTTTAGCGTCAAGATTAAAAGGTAATGCTAACATTACTTTTTACCGAAAACGGCAACAAGACCTCACACATTGCTTCCGGCACCTTGTTTTGTTCATGTCACAAAAAATATTTTAATCTTGTTATTTGTTGCAGAAATGACCGTGCGGCATGTCGACCGGCTTCACCAGCAGCGTCACGCCCACCTCGTCTCCAAGCACTGCCCCTCCACTTTCAAGCCCCGCCTTCCCGCTATCGAGCCCCGCCTCTTCGGTCGACTCGACGGCTTACGCCATCCTGTACTTCGCGTCGTCCCCGCCAGACGGCGCCGTCGCCGTTAACGACTCCGCCTCCTCGCTGCCGCTGCCAGCCAATCACGTGCAGCATGTGGCGCTCGCCATCTTGCTCAGCGTGGTCATCGTCATCGTCATATTTGGTAATACGCTGGTCATACTGGCGGTCATCACGACGAGGAGGTTGAGGACGGTCACGAATTGTTTCGTGATGTCGTTGGCGGTGGCTGATTGGTTGGTGGGGATTTGCGTTATGCCACCGGCTGTGGCTTATACGCTTATGGGTAAGTCAGCATGTAAATCAATTTTTTTATACAGGGTGCTATGCGAATATTTAAGGGCGTGAATCTACATGAAAAATTAATGTTAGTGTGCTCTATAAACTATGGTCCAAAAATGTTTCCTTACAAAAACTCGGGGTGTTGAAGCTTTAGGAAAAAAATGGAAATTAATTAATATTTCCAGAACCGCTTAAGATATTTCACTGATATTTAGTACGTAGTGAAGGTTAATAAAGTTGCATGTTTTTCAATGCAAAAATAATTTTTAGCTTTAACAGTGGTGTGCGTACGGGTATTGACTTCGATATTTTTTAAGAAAAAAATGGTACGCCAATGATTTTTTGCCAAATAAAAACTATTTTTGAATTTATCGTTTAATTTAAAACAAATAATCTTTCGTGAGTTGTTTTCCTTCAATGCGCCATTTTTGAGTATTTTCCGAGAAAATTAATGTAATGATTGAAGAATGCAATTCAGCAATCAATATCTAGTGGCTCTGGAATATGTCACTGGCTTTTGACATCTGACAAGTCTCTGTTAATCCAATCTGTTCGCTGTGACATTTTCTTCATTATTTAGTTTTTACAATCTTGTTAATAATGGTGAATTATTCAAAGGCAGAAATGGCGGAAATGCATTACGTATATGGCCTTGCCGACGGTAATGGTGAGCAAGCCAGACGGATTTATCACCAGAGATATCCCGATCGTGCTTTACCAGATAGTCGAACCTTTTCTAATATCACTGGACAACAAATTTTAGTTTTTTAATTGTATCTTGTGGGAGAAGTGCACTTCTTTGTTAATTTTGGGGCGCTGAATCTAAAAATGACAATGAAATAAAAAAATTAGTTGCGGTTTAGAAAAAAAACTTTTTATTTTTAAGGATATATTAAAAAAAGTAACAAAATTCATATACTATATCTATCTATATCACTATATGCGCTGTCTTTTTGCTGTTCTTTTATGGATCGTTTCTGGAGCATCTCTACCAACAGTCCAACAGTAGTCTGCAAGCATGGAAGGATTCCACTTTCCCTGGTACCTTTTTTCCATTGTTGAAATATCCTGATGAAAACGTTCGCCGTGCTCATCACTTACGGCTACGCAATTGTCAGGAAAAAAGTCCAGGTGTGAGTGTAGGAAATGTATCTTAAGAGACATATTACAGCCCATCTTTTGATACGATGACAGCATATTTTTGACAAGGGTTTTATAGTTGTCAGCTTTTCTATTTCCGAAGAAATTAGTGACCACCAGACGGAAATCATTCCAAGCAGTTTTTTCAATACCTGTTAAAGTGTTTTCAAACTGTGTATCTTTCAAAATATTTCGAATCTGTGGCCCAACAAAAATACCTTCTTTAACCTTTGCCTCACTTAGTCTTGAAAATTTCTGACGCAGGTATTGAAAAGCTGACCCATCTCTATCTAATGCCTTGACAAAGTTTTTCATTAGACCCAACTTGATATGCAGTGGTGGTAATAAAATTGTGTTCGAATCTACTAATGGCATATGCTGTACATTTTTTTGACCTGGCTCTAGGAATTGACGAACAGGCCAGTTTTGTCTGGTGTAATGAAGTGCCTTTGCCAGACTGTCCCATTCACACAAAAAACAGCAAAACTTTGTGTAGCCTAGCTGCAGCCCAAGTAAAAGTGCAACAACTTTCAAATCGCCACAAATATGCCATTGGTGCTCATCGTATTTTATGCATGTCAATAGGTACTTCATATTGTCATATGATTCTTTCATGTGAACTGCATACCCTACAGGAAGAGATGGTAAAATATTTCCAATATGCAATAACACTGCCTTTAAACTCAATGTTGAACTGTCTATAAACAATCTCCATTCTTCTGGGTTATAGTTTATATTTAAAGCCGCCAGTAAGCCGTTAATGTTACTGCAGAAAACCAAGTTATTCTCCATATTGAAAAATGGTTCTAAGTCTTTGTGGCGTTTACGAAAAACACATACCGAAACATCGTCTTCTAACAAGTTCCACTGCTGCAGTCGTGATCCAAGTAACTCTGCCTTACATTTTGGAAGTTCTAAATCTCTTACAAGATCATTTAATTCTGACTGTGTTATTTTGTGCGGTTGGTGGCATGACGTGCTCGGTATAAAATCAGGATCTCTTGACGTTGATGGCATATCTTCTTCCTGACGAATCACTCGATCGCCATGATCTGATTCGTTTTCTGATTCGCAAGTATAGGATTCTGGGGGTTTTGGAATAGGATTTTCGTCACTGTGAGGCACAGGTCTCATCGCAGATGGTATGTTTGGGTAGTTAGTAACCGGTTTTTTTTTCTTGGACATACCTGTGGCTTGTCCAACACAAGGTACCATGCAAAAGTAACAATCATTAATATGATTTGTAGGCTCTCTCCAAACCATTGGGACAGCAAAGCGCATAGACCGTTTTTTGCCTTTTAACCAGCTCCTCAGACTTGAAGCACATATATTACAGCAGATGTGGGGTGCCCACTGTTTGTCTTGATCACCTAGTTTACAACCGAAATAAAGCTGATATGCCTTTGTTATTAGTGTAGTAATAGACCGTCTCTGAGACGCAAAAGTCACATCACCACACACGTAAAAAAACTGATCTGGATTGTTTACACACTTTCGAGGCATCTTGCATGAACGCTGTCAGCCAACTGAGGAAAAAATGGCTAATATAAAACAATATAATGTACACGTATGTATAACACAATCATGCCGATTACATCATCTTTCCTTGCCGAATATAAAAATGTAGCACGTGCATTCTTGTGAATTACAGTATATTAACACTGTCACAGCAGGAACACGTATAATTACCGTATCTCTAAAACTTGAAGTAATATTGAAAAAATAAGTTTCATTCCGGTTTTAGCACATTAAAAATAGTAATATTTTGTTGATTTTATTTAGGATATTTTTTGGCTGTTGATCAGTGTATTCATCGTCGTCTTGTTGAAACTGGTTCTGTCCGAAAAGGAACATCTGAAGGTAGACCTCTAAGTGTGAGAACACCTAAAATTGAGGAAGCAGTGCTGCAAGAAGTCGTTCGTGAAACCAGTACCTACGAGGAAAATCGCTAGACACTTAAATATTTTCCATCAAATTGTTTGAAGAATTTTTGTGGATTTTTTGTTATATCCTCACTATATTTTAAGAGTACGGGCATTTCTTGCCATTGATCTTCCAAGACGTGTGACCTTTTGTTAGTGGTATCTTCAAAAAATTTGAATCAATGATTCTGTTCACGGACGAAGCTAATTTTTCTCGAAATGCCATTCAGAATTTCCACTATAATCATTTGTGGGCAGAAGAAAATCCCTATGCCGCAAAAAATGGGATATACCTTCGCCCACCTCCTGCAAGCCCCGACCCCCGATTTTTAACCCATACAATTTTTTTTTTCAGAAAATAGGCAATATGTCATTTTTGAAATTTTTCGTCATAACAATACTTCCCCGACAGAAGGCGTGGGAAATAAAACGTAAGGTTAATTCAGATTCTCGCATGTTTAAAGGCGATTGAATTTGGAGACCCTGCTATATGTGTGTATGTGATATAAATATCAAAAATAAACCTTATAACTCATGATAATAATTAATTGCAAATATTTCAATATAATTCGCAATTTTTTGCTCGGCTGTACCCACGGGCCTAAATCAGAAACTTCTCAGACATCGTGGATTGTTTGAGCATAAAGGGATAGGCAAAGGAGAAGCGAAATTTTGTAGGATATATTAGGTTAACATTACCCTTGCTCATAGTTTGAATGTTTTCAAAGTAGAGCGATGGTGATGAGGCTGTTGGAAATCGAGGCCGTAGTAGAAGGGGTGGCTGTAATTTTAATAGCGCCTGTTAGGTGAAAAGCCGACAATGTCTGAAGCTACGGCGGCGGATATGTAGATTACCGGAAAGCGATGGTGTTGTTGAAAAAATGTTGTATTATTTTTTTTTACTTAATCAAATCGACTATTTTTCTGAGGTCAATCTTAGTGGCTTCCATTGATGCTGATTAAAAAAGTCCCTAAGTCTCTCATCATAAAATTTAATTGCAATATTTATGCATACTCCTAAAATCAGTGATCATTCATGGATATGTTTTGAAGTTGAAAGTATATTTGATACTGACATAGTGGAAGAAATTACTAATATTAACTATGTAAAATAATGAGAAGCCCGTTTACAACAAGATATGACTGAAATGTTTATTAATGTTGATAGCTACTATGCAAGCGTATTGGATAGTGTTGAAGTTTACATGAAAGAAGCTACAGTCAAGACAACGATTTCTAAAAGAAAAATTGTTGGAATTTTTTGTTCTTACAGATGTTCAAGGATTCTTGTTCACTGCAAATGAAGCTGTATTCTCAAAATTACAGGTCCTAGAAAATCAAACTATGAGAGTAATATTGAATGAAGATATCTACACCAAAATAAAATATATGGTACAAGAATTTCAATGGTTGAATATAACAAAAATCATATCATATTTGATTCTTATTTTCATACATAGAGCCGACTAATGATTACCTCAGTTATTATGCAAAAGGAAATATAGGTTTTCATTTACAAAATTGCAATAGTAATATAACTAGCAAATCAATATTTCAGAAGGGAGTACTTGAATTTCATAAACTAAATATTGATACAAAGTATATTTGTAATTTAAACGCGTTTAAAAGAAAGAAACATTTCATTGACAGTGAAAATTCTTAAAGATGCAAGTTTTGTCTTTCTAGATATTTGTATGTTGTGTAATTGTTGTAGTTTGTAAAAAGAATGTAATTGTAACAGGCATGCTGAGCAAATCTTAAACAATACAAACAAAACATTAATAAGCCTTTTTACGAAAAAAGGACTTTCAAATGAAGTATCCTCAAAGCGAATTGTTTTCGAACCTACGTTTATATTTTTTTCATAAAGTTACCCAAGAAATCACCACGTTTTGAGATACCCTGTATAAATATAATATTTTGGCATTTCTGTCAGGTCAGC